GGGTTAAATTGTTGTTCAGAGATATGCTGCCTCATAGTGTTTCACTAGTGTTTCACATCACTAGCTAACGCACAATATTGTGGTGCTCAGTTGCGTGGACTGAATAGCTTTCTTCAAGTCTGCGATTTCAAGGTAGGGTTTTTGGTGCTTTTATGTTCTGTCGGCACTGTCACTTAAAACGGCCCAGTCTGTTTTTTTTTTGTTAATAATAGACCAAGGTCAAGTTCCTGGCTACTATTGTTCTGGGGCTTGGAATGAAATGCCAGTAGTATTAAATCAAACTCCAAGTCAAACACAGGCTCCTGATCAGACTTTGTGCAATTAGAAAAAAATACAGTGACGGATTGACGAGGACTAGAGGAAGCAAGCGTCTAGGCTTATAAGGTCTGAACATGATAACGGCACATTTTACATGCATAATTCCAAGCAATGCTTAGTGCGTTTAGGGTTTTTTTCGAGATCTCAGAATCAGATGTTGAGCACTTAACTCAAGCCTTAACTCGCACTAAACCGTCCTTCGTATATCAAACCGAATTGGATTCAAACTATTTCAAGAACACAAAAGAACTAGTTTGTAGGCCTGCGAGAAGGCTGTAAATAACTTCCTTTAATACATTGATAATACAGGAAGTCGAAAGCAGTTCGATATTGCGATTCCTTGTGTAGCTATATATCGCCTTCCCTGTCTCAGATATAGTTTCAGGAAGAGTCGTGCAGAATCGCATTCTTTTGGTAACCTTAGTAAAGAGTAAGCCTGTTAATTACCCGCTCACGGTTCTTTATCGGTACGTTGCCGGACATTATTTTTTACAGAACAAGATAGGTTCCCTTCTCGATTCACGGTTGAAGTCCAACACTTGATACAAAGTTCATCAATCGGCTTTGTTTGACTCTGGCACACGTTAAGATTGAAGATAATTAATTGCTTCCCTAATTACTTATTTGCATCTCGTGATGGAAATAGAGTGAATTTTTCATATGCCAAATTCATCATTTGTTGCTGCACGCTGTAGTTTTCCTTTTTTATGGACCTCACAATAAGCATTATGTTCCTTATTCCTTCCTATGATTGATCTGTAATCGAAACAAGCCCGGCCCGACATCATAGATTTGACGATTCAAAGCTTTAGTTGTCATATATTATTGTAAGCTTTAAAGGACTAACCATTTGACGCACAGCCCCGTAGTTTTTTACTTCACATATGTGCATTTTCAAGGCAAGAATATTGTTGTAAATAATAATTAATTCGTTTTCTTGATATTCTTTACCCTTCCTGACTGCCATGATAACTCAATACTATCATAAGCAACAGCATCAAGGAGAGTATTTGTTTGCACGGTGCCTCGGCAAAGAGTTTTTATTTAATTTTTCCGCGGTGTCATTGAGACGGCTGCCGTTTTCAAAAGAAATTGACAGTTCTTAGCTTGCATCTAAGTATCTTAGAGTTGTAAGTTGTTGAAAGCCGAAAGAAATAGCCAAATTGAATAAATATGTAGTTAATAGACCTCTTTAGCTTATATGTTTTATTTTCCCAGCACTGGTCATGTGATAATACTCTAGAGAACTGTTTCTTCCAAATTTTGTCTTATTCACGCGCATGTACGCATAATTTATAAAAAGACCCTAGGATCTCTATTGGGAAAACAAGACATACAACTGAAATGAGGTTTATTAGAGACTTCAGCAAAAGAGGTTCGTTATGCTAAATCGTAGCTCTGAGTCTTTGCTTCCGATGACGCAGTTTGCCGCCGTGTATACTCGCCTTGATTTCAGCCGTTCTCTCGGTCCTTCGGCGACGTCCATAAAAGCGTCGCTGAAAAATAGACTTCACATCCTTTCACTTTTTTCCGCGATTATCCCAAGGGGCCAAATTACTTAAAAAGAACGAATTTGGGTTGGAGCTGAAGAGAAGGGGCCGTTTCCGAGTTCTGACAGACAGACGGTAGAATTTATCGCCTTGCCGTTTCCGTTCCAAGTAAACTTAAATTTGGTCAATTCAAGTCCCAGTTATGCAGATGCAGGGACGGCAAAGAAATGTACAAAAAATTGTGATGCACGTGCAGAATTGTTGTTTTGCTCATTAAACCTATTGCTTTTTTGACGTTCCCGATGCCGTCGCCGTGGTTATGTATCGGTCAAATCGAAGCTTCAACATGCCCCCCCCGGGCAATCCCCCGGAAATTTGACTTTTTTGAAAATTTTTGTCCAAATTCCCCCCTACACGGGCCAAAATGCCGTTCAAATGCCCCACACTAGGGTCCATTCAGGTGATCAAATGCCCCCACCCCGGGGACATTTCACAGGCACAAAAATGACAGAAGGATGGCGGAAACGCCTTCAGTTGTCGAAAAAAATCTTTATAAATATAACAAAAACTGAGAAAAACTATTAGCGTATTTACTACGAACAAAAGTCTCGTGCAAAGCGGCGGAAATCGTTACTACAAGGTCACTGAATGCTCAGCTTTTCTTCGTCATGCAACATACAAAGCGTTCTATAAAAAAAGATCCCACCTATTGAGATTACTACATCATGACCATTTCACTGACATACATCATCGCTCACCTTATTAATTAACATACTTGTAGTAGGTCAAAGTAGTTGACCTGAGCTTTTTATTTAATTTAATTTTAGGGAATTTTATTTCGCGCAAGGGAAATTTAATGTTGTTGTATTGAATAAACCCTAAGAAATATTCATAGGTATTGTATTTCAAGGAATTTGATAACGAAAAAAAATTCCTGCAGCTCGAAAATACATAACTTTTCTAATGGTCCATTTAATGTTGTTGTATTGATTTCAGTATTCACAAAATAAAAAATTTTAAATACTGAATCAGTATTTAAAATTTAAAATTTTAAATACTTCAAATACGGCACAAAGCTTGTTTAAGCCCTTTCCTCGTAACCAATTGGCCAGAAAGGCACAATCTTTTCCACGAAAATCCTCTAACACCGCGTCCCGCATGATAGCTCGCCACGCCAAAGATTTTACATCAAATCGAGGGTGCAGTTCAAATTCCCGAGAAGAGACGGGGAAGAGCGCGGGCTCTGTTCCTGAACAGCGACTGTTAATCGAGTCCGCGTAATTCATCTACTTTACCACGTGAGCTATAAAGTTCTGAGTAGTCTTTTTGGGTCTTCGTTTTCAACTTTAGCGGGGGTTGGCCCCGGTCAAATCCGTTGATAATTTAGGTCATTGAAGATCTTGTTGTTTCTTACGCATTTCAAGTCCAGATAGCCTCTTCGAGCCGAGTCTTAAGGAGATTTTGATGCAGCCGTTGTTTGGTCTTCAGTCTTCGTTTTCAACCCACCTTGCTCGAAACTCGGTTTTTCATTCTCGATTTCCAGCGAATATAGCCTCCCCGCAGACGTCCTTTGGGGTTCGTTTGTCACGCATTCATTTCTCCCCCACGGACCGTGAGGAGCCCCCACGACTGGCCCTCACGTACGATACTCAAATGTACCCTCACTCCCACACACGCGCCCTCGGGTTTATGTGCCTGGTGTACCCCCAAAGTTTCAGGAAGCAAAACCGGTTCTTCCCACTGAATGAAATGGTATGTCGCATTTCTGAAAACTGCTTTCAAAATTATGTCAAGGTTGATTTCCACCGACGCTTTTTTGGCTACGCACGTTAACGCACAAAAATTTTAATCACGTAATTTAAATAGGCCTTGATAAAAAGTGCTGAGCTTAAACGATAAGTTGAACGAAGTTCAACTTTTACCAGCTTACGAGCGACTTTTTATACCGTTGCCTCATTTTATTTGCGAACGTAAATTTTACGCACGTACGCACGTAAAAATTAATCAACCCTCAAGAATGCCACGCAACGAAAAGGCGGGACCAAAACGGCCGTATAAACCTCCCCTCCCACAGACTTGTCTTGGATACCCTGCATTGATGACTCTTAACCTCTTGTGATATAATGTGTCACTTCATGCATGTAATATTATACTCCGGTGGAAGGACGCTCACCTCTGATTTGAAGGTAAGTTTTTGGCGTTTCTAGGTTTCCCTGTCGCTTAGAAAGTTTGTCTCGTCAATTGCCAGTGTTATTTTCATGGTTAATGATTTTCTCTGAGCCTGAGAGATATCAAACGTTGTATACATCAAGCAGAGATTCGGTTATTCATCTGATTTCAGTGTTACGTAAATGGAAATAGCTGGGCCGATCATGCAAGAGCAAATACTAATGCGCTTTTGCAGGACCCGACATGTTTTCGAACAAAATCTCGACAACGAAACATATCTGCATGCTTTATTTAAGGTAAATGCCAACGTTTAGTCCAGTTAGTAGTTTTTTAAAGACCTCAGAATCAGATGATATTTGGACAGCGAGGTTAAAAAGACCCAAAACCTTGACACTGTCTGCTGGCTTTGAACTTACTCCCAACAGGCTAGGGTCACGGAATCACATTCCACAAGAATGCGCCAGCTTAAAATTACAAACACAGCAATCGAACATTTCGTTTGAAATTCAACATTTTTCTACGTTTTTTCTCGAATGTTTCATAGTTTCTTCATGTATATTGCCCGATTGCTTTATATAACCTGTAAAGCGACGCGCTATTCATGAATACATTCCCACGCTGGAGATGAATAATGATCGAGTATTGTTTACTAAGGGCGCTAGTTAATTCTTAATTGTATTTTTACTTAATTGCCGAAATCAATTCTTTCCTGAAGGCAGATACTTAAATTGTTTAATGGGTAATCGTTTTCTCTACTCTATCCGCGTCTTACGTTTCCTCTCTACTTGCTTTGGGCAGGGGGACCTATTAATTAAAGTTCATTTTAGAATATTACCCCTTGCAGGGCAGGCCGAGCATTAACATTTGAAATTTTGCCTTTCATGATAACAATGATATGAGCAGAGTCGCTCGATGTAGTTACCCTGTGAGCACAGGTTTCTTTCTGGCATGGCTTTTAGCATTTGTAAAGTTGTTGCTTTTCAATCGCGTAAACAAACCAACTACGTGACTGACTGAACAAATGCTAAAACCATACCAGAAAGAAACCTCTGCTCGCAAGATAGGTGTAGTTATGGCTCTTAAGGCTCGACCACCTCAGTGATGTAGAGGTCATGTGGAAGAGACATGCGTCCGAAGTCTTGAAATATCTCGACCCATAACTCAATTAACGAAAGAGGTCAAAATTTCGCAACGGGATCTTTTCTAGGGATTTTAGAGATTATATTTAGAGGTTCTAAATTTAACGTTGCAGCCTTAACATCACAACCCATACGCTTCACGTCTGGCGCTTTTACGACACGTTTTCGCCAAAGCCATCGTGTGCAAGCAGCGTTTTGCGGTAGTCGAGCAAAATCATTGCCTTTCTCGAGGACACAACTACTGGGTAAGAGCAAATTGAATGTTAAGAAAGTTCTTAATAAATGGCAGTATCCATTCATTATCATCAGTGCTAAATCAGCGATAAATGCTTTAGTGAGTTATCAGGAATTATCTATAATTTTGTTTCGTGATTTTTGGGGCTGAGTTATTTATATATACGAAGTATTATTTAGTCCTTGAAGAAACAATCAGCCAACCTTCATTTGTTTGAAACTGCATTATTATTGCGCTGTACTATCTGATTCCTGTTTCAAGCGTTTGGGCATTATAAAACAGTGATATTGGCTTTAGAAAATGATTCAGCAGGCGATTTGTTCATCATCAGTAAAACATTGGCAAAGAAACCGGCACCTCTGAGTGGTGAAGTCATCGTTTGGCCATTCCTCCACGTATTCACATTCGGGAGAAATAAAGTCCTCCATACTTTTGCTTCATTTCTAGAAAAAAGAATGATTGTTGATTACAGTTGCAATACTCATTGCGGCTTTTTATGTAAAATTTAGTTGCAGCTGAAAACTTTCAGCGTGAAAAGGGTTCTGTTTAGGGCGATGGTATGAATTGTTCGGAACGTTTGATGTAGTCTACGGTAGACAATAGTATTCACAGAATCTTTCATAGCTTTAAGCTTCAGATCGAAGCTGTCTATGTGAACATTAATCAGTTAACCCGTAAGTTGCATTTTCGATCAGTACTGCAGTCAGATGTCAGGTCTTTCTTGTCCGATCCCTTGGATTGATCAAAAAGATTCCCTGATCATGTTTTTTAGCCTCATTGATTCAGCAGTGATATGAGAAGGAGACGAAAATTTTATTGTAGAAGTTATTTGAAATTAGTCTCGCTCTTCAGATAGCCTGCAGACACAGACGTATTTCCGGTCGTCGTGGGCTTACTAAGGTGAAAATTTTCTGACAAATGGTACTGGCACCGAAAACAGGAATGAATCATATTTACTGAATATAGTTCCCTTCTTAACCTGCGATCAAGCTTTTTTTTTTGGAAGAGAGTCGGTAAAAAAGACACGAAAGACATAATGGAGATATAGGGAGGGCATGATCGCAATTGGCAGCCCTTTCGCTCTCTTCACTAAGCTGCCCACGAAAGCACGAAAACAGAACTTCTCACAATCTAGTGCATAACACAATTACTGAGTTTCCTTAATATATTTTGAAAGTCCCCGTGAGGATATGAATCCACGGCCTCCCAAAGACCGGTCGGGGCGAATGTCCCTCTCGGGGACGTAGATGTTTTCCTTGACCTGAACTCGTGGCACACAGCGAGATCACGACTGCATATTTTTTCAGATCAATGCGCGGTTATTTAGATTTTTTTTACGTCCCAGCTATGAAGACGAACCTGTTTATTTTAGCTTGAGATCGGCGAATCTTGGGGTCAATTCAGTAAAACTTTATCAAATGTCACCCACAGGGTGGCTATTCTTAAACTATAGCTTCACTTGTAAAGGTTTTTTGAAATTGGCTTAAGGTAAAAGTCAGAGTCACTGACAGAATATGAATCCATGACCCGGCTGCGAACATGTCGAGGCAGATTTCTCTCTTGGGACCCATGTTGCCCTTGTTCTAAGCTCGTGACACTCTTACAGAACACGCTGTACGTCTTCCTTCTAGAGAGATTTTGTTTGGATTGCACGCTTTCATAAGAGACTATAATGTATTTCAGGTAGGGATATAGCCGGAAAATGTCAGTCCTTAACAAGAGAATACAAATTCAGTTACCTAAGAGATCCTGTTAAGGGTAGTTATCTCATGTTGGTGGACTCTTGCCCCATACTTGCATTGTGACTTACGAAAAAAAAAAAACGAGATTTCCCTATAAGGATTTATATTTGGATTTGTCACGGTTTATGAAGACCGTTAAATTTTTTAGTTAGGAAAAACATATCTACAAAAAAACCGTAGAGCTTTTATTTTTCTGAATGACACAGAAAACGACTGAGATACTGTGTTTTCAAGTAGCCCTTAGCCGATCAACAGAGCCAACATTATTTGAAGGGTTAAGCTCTAGACCTTTTCAATTGTTTGCACGATTAGCTTGTCTGCCATACAAAACAGACTTCTAAATTTAGTTCTTCTATTAGTGATTGGGAACAATGCTCCTTGAGGGTGAACCCATGCATTTTTTGAGTTAAAGTCGACTCAGCTTAGACTTGAACCTTTAATCTCTGGTTGCTGAATAAGATTGGGTGTGAAAGAGTTCCTCTGCTCGAATGAAAAGAAACTCTTTTTCTTATGGTATTACGCTGAAATCACTGTCGGGTTCATCGAGCTAGGTGTAAACTAAAGAACGCTTGAAAAGCTTTCAATTGTACAAACTTTGGTTTTTACGATGTGAGTAAATGAAAGAGGTAATGTATTATAAGGAGAAAAAGATCTAAACTTTGCATTTATTTACAGCTCTGGATAATTTTTTGTTACTTTCTTTCTAGTTTGCTTGGTGAAGACATCCTGCCCTGGTTTGCTTAAAAACTTCACGCGGTTGTCGGTTTAAGAGAAGCGTTTAGTAATTTAGACTTTGCCAGAAGACTGGTCTATACCAAGTCAATCATGTATTCACTACATGACATCACAAGCGTTTGCCCAAAAATTGAACCAGTAGACTCTGACGAAGGTGAAACCAATGAGCAAGGAGACATGGATCGTTTGCATTCCCAGGCAAAGTCATCTGTTGAAGATTTTCCTATCAATAACAATACAGTGCATGGTAAAGTAAATGAGTACGATACCACCTTGAAAGGCGACAGAACCTCTCTTGAGAGACTATCAACCAACAGCCTGGCACCTTACAATAACGTATCTACTACCCAATCAGGCGATTTGTTTCCTAGTAAGCACATTACCGTTACTTACTCAACTGCAAACAATACGACAGTTTCCATGGATACACCTGAAATACAGATAGGAAACGCGTTCACAGTGGTTCCAATTTATGAGATCAACGGACGTGAAGGGCAATATTATCCTGTGAGTGCCGCAGAAAATAGTCATGATATTCAAAATGGTACCCAGCATACATATAGGAATAACAACAGCAAGAACAAGACCTATGGAAAAACATTCCTTCAACAAAATGGTGGACCCGAGGGATTGCCCGCGTACCGGTCGAATTTTTACGGGAAAATGCCATATGCGCTGGTGGCTTCCAGTGTAGGGCTTTCGCCGTACCAAGGATTACCAACATACAGTGGAACCCATAGAGCTTTAACAGCGCATGAGATGGGACTCCAGGTTAAGCCTTGCTGTCAATGTCCCTGTCACCTACAACTTCCACCACCATCTCATATGGGTGCTGTTGATATGAAAAGCCAGCGGCCTTCAGTAATCATGGTACCTGCCAAGTTGGATCAAGCTTTCGTGGGCGCAAACTCGAAGGTAAAGTTGTTTTGTGTAAATATTGCATTGAATTACATTTCGTCCCATGTAAGGTAATTCTGATTCCGGAATTCCGAAAACTAGTTGGAATCCTGAATCCTGGGGCGCGATCCATTCAACCAAAATTCCAACAGGTCCAACCGGGAAAAGTTGTCCACCTCAAAAGGTGGACCCGTTTTTTCGGTTGGACCAAACCGATCCATTGAGTTTTGGACGAAATTTTGGTTGAATGGACGCGCTCCTGGGCTTTTGAAACCGGAATCCCTCTAACGATTGGAATACGGAATTTTAAGGGCGCGATCCATTCAACAAAAATCTCCGGAAATTTCGGTCCAAAACTCAATGGATCGTTTCGGTCCAATCGGAAAAGTGTCAAAAAAACTGGTCCACCTTTTGAGGTGGACCACTTTTCCCGGTCGGACCGGTCGAAATTTTGGTTGAATGGATCGCGTCTCTAGCTCCGCTGCCAGGGGCGCGATCCATTCAACCAAAATTTCCGGAAATTTCGGTTCAAAACTCAATGGATCGTTTCGGTCCAACCGGAAAAGTGTCAAAAAAACTGGTCCACCTTTTGAGGTGGACCACTTTTCCCGGTCGGACCGGTCGAAATTTTGGTTGAATGGATCGCGTCTCTAGCTCCGCTGCCAGGGGCGCGATCCATTCAACCAAAATTTCCGGAAATTTCGGTTCAAAACTCAATGGATCGGTTCGGTCCAACCGGAAAAGTTTCGAAAAAACGGGTCCACCTTTTGAGGTGGACCAATTTTCCCGGTCGGACCGGTTGGAATTTCAGTTGAATGGATCGCGCCCTCATTCAGAATCCGAGACGGTCTTGGATTATTTTATATGGGATCATACATTACTTTTCATTGCATTGTTTGTCATTACATACCTTGTGAATTCAGCGGGTTGTTACGTTGGGATCATTATCAGCCTGTGCGTTTAATGGTTACTGGCATTCAAAAAAACAAACAATCAAAAATCAAAACAGAACTAGTAACCGGTGTGAAATTCTTTGAAGGTTGATTCAGATTCATCCGACGATGACGAAGAAGGAAATGAAGAAAAGTACTTTCGTGTGAATATCGATGGCACATCAGCAAGGTTCAAATTAACCCGAGAAGACTGGGAAAGGATTCCAATAAATACCTTCCCAAGCGGTGGCCGACTGTTGAGTGGGGACTGGACAAGAATCTTCCTTGAAAAAGTTAAAGAAAGCAACCCATGGTGCAGTTTGCGCTTCAAAAATAATCACGTGAGATCAGAAAACTCGCGCAAAATCCACTCAGCGGTTTTCTTCAGAGGAGGCGCAGAATGCAAGCGACCGGAGTGCAATGTGAAAGTGCGATTTGTCATCCATAAAGAGAAAGGAAAGTATGTGGATGTGTCGTATGTTGGCAACGTGTGTCACAGCAGCCAGCTTGGCGGAGGTGGCGTTGGAAGTGAAAGGAAGAAAAAGCAGGGCCGCCTTACCCGTTAAGCCTCTTTTGTGCATGAATATCTTGAAGCTGGCGTTAAACACTCTTTATAGTATCTTTTATATTCAGCTTGGGTGCTTACTAATACCATCCGGGGGTAGTCCCATTGATACGGCTATATAGTTAAAAAACGAACACCGGGAACCACATAACTCAGAACAAGAATCAGTTGGTACTTCTTTTTGCCGAATCTCTTCTTCTTTTAAGATTCTCGTAGTAAACAGGCTGCACTGCAGCCGTATTTTTGGCGGGCAAGGGTGCTTTTAGTCGCCCATGCAGTTGTTCTTCGTCTCGTCACGGCGTTGCGTGACGAGACAAAGCAATTGCCGTGGCCGCCATCTTTGAGTCTATAAGATAAGAAGACTGGGGAGAGTGGAAGTAGAGACCCTTCGGGTAGGAGTTAGGACAAATGGGATTTAACTTGGTGGTCAAGCGAGCAGAAATATGCGCACACCCAAAGAAAACGCGTGCAACTAGGCTCGTACAAGACGAATAAGCTATTTATTCATTCATGGAGTGATTTTATTTAACCAGTGAAATAGATAGTAGACTACTACGCTGTATTTGAGGCTCTAATGACATCGGTTTCTTTTGATTATTTGAAGCTGCTCGGTAATTGTTAGATACTTTTTTTATGGGTTAAGTAAAATCATTCTACGGAAGCGAATAATCATAACGATATTTAGTTACTTTAAAATTCTACTGATATGAAAAATAACTTCTTTAATATCGTATTTTATTTTTAGTTTTGGCTATATTGTTTAACGTACGTAGTACGACATGTCAATGCTCAATTCATCCACTTTCTTGGCCATGTGACGTAGCACGATTATCAGGTCAAGCGCGAAGGTTGCAATTCAAAGTAAGCGACAATAGCACGAAAAAGACAGTTGGCTTGTCTTTCATCCCATATGAGGTTTAACCTTTGTCTCCTTTATCTTAGGTTTCTGCTCCATTACATAGCCTTATTATTAGTATTGGCTCGTCACGCTATGATTGCTCCCCAATCATCGATGACGAGTCAAAAGCACGTCTGTGGGAGGATAAAATGTGAAAGAAATAGTTCTTCAGTAAAACGACGAGTGCTCTGAGTGCAAAGAGTTTTAGAAATTTTTTTTTCTTTACTTTCGAACTAACGAAACCGTGAAAACCAGAAATATATCTTGAATGTTATTGTTTCAAAAAAAAAACTAATCAGGCGTGAGAAAACTAAACCGCCAGCAATAAGGTTAATAAGCTTGTGGTTTTGTGGCTAGCTCGCATTTCATGATCTTTGTTGTGATACGTCATGCCACAATAAACAGTCCTGAAATAAACATTCGTCAATTTAAAAAATAAAGTACGAAGATTGTGGTTACGTGGAACAGGAATGACGTATGCGTGGGAGCTTGTTGTGATTGTAAATACGACGTTTCGCATTCAGAAAAAAGACTAGGGTTTTGATTTCTAGAATTCACACATGTGCTTTGAAAGAGTGGAAGGGTGATTATTTTTTCTCATGGTGGTAAGTTCATTTCTATATTCCCAACCAGCTAGGATTTTTAATTAACTAATTTCAAGAGATTTAATTACTGCTAGACACCATATCGTTTATTTAGCTTTATCATTGTACGTGATGAAACATAAAAGTGTATATGATATTGTTCAATGTACTAAAATGTGAAAAGTTTGTTAAATGTTCTATTTTTCCAGCGCCGTAGACTTTACCGAGTCAGAGAATAAGGATTTACTGATATTTTTGTAAAGAAAACAGTTTTGCATAAGTAAATCATTGCCGATAAATGACGGTGAAAAGAGAGAAAACTTTTAGTATTGATTCTTTCGTTTATTTAGAATATTATATTTATGATAAGTGTAACTATTTTTCTATTGCATATCATTAAAATCTACTTTCCCATACCTTTTGCTGGGTAGTGTATTTCTCATGAAAATCCGAAGATTTATCTTTATAGTCTGCAGTTATTTTATTGATACTTACCAAAAAGTGTATGGTTACGAAAAACCTCTATTAAACGTCAATAAAACATTTCCGCATGAGGAAATCCTTGTGATAAACGTAGATTTTCAGTCGCAAGAAAACGCGTAGTATTGATCGTTTGCATATTTTAACCTGAGATCAGGCCCAATTTGAGCGGTTCTCATACATTCTCTCTAACGGCTACCGCTGAAATTGGAAATCTCTTTTCGTTTCGTCTTGCCCGCCGCAATGTACTAATTTTCAAAGCGAAACGAAAATAGAGCCTGATCTCAGGTTAGCATATTTAGAATATTTATGATAACTATTTTTCTTACATAAGATAAATACCTACTTCACGCCAATACCCCTTGATGGATAGTGTATTTTCTCATGAAAATCCGAAAATGAAAGCCATGTTACTTTGCTTATGGTCTTTCTGAGTCATTTTTCACGACTTTCTTCCGCGGCAGGATTAGCTCAGTCGGCAGAGCCCTTGACTGCAGAGCGGGAGGTCGCGGCTTCGATTCCCGGGACCGGACCAATACTCAGGGTCTTAAAAATGACTGAGAATTGAAGGTACTGCCTTAACGGCCAAACAAGGCGAACGCGGCATTTTGCGCAAAGCCCGAAACGGGTGCGAATCGCGAGACGAGAAGAGAGGAAAAATTGGGCGCTTTCCATTTAGTCAAAATTTCCGGAATTTCCGGTTCGGCGGTAAATGGAACACGTTTCGTCGGTTCGTCCCACTGGAAAATTCCCAGAAAAAGTGGAAAATCTAAAAAGGTGGGCCCGTTTTCCCGGTTGGAATTTCTGAACGGAATGTCGTGTTCCATTTACGTTTCTCGTAGTTTCTACCAGTTCCAGGTCCACGGTCGGGCACCGCCACGTACCGGGGTTTACGACCAAATGGAACAACTTTTTACCAGTCGCAAATTCCACTTTTGCTACCACCGAAATTTCCGGGTTTTTTTCCTAAATGGAAAGCGCCCATTATCTCCTCCTCCCGTCTCGCGTCTCCCGCTCGTTTTTCGCTTCGCGCAAAATGCCGCGTTCGCCTCGCTGGGCTCCTAAAGCGCCTGTTATGCAGGGTAGCATGCTTGCTCTTTCGTAACACTTATTGCACGGCTTCTGTTCACATATACAACGGTGATTTTGGTGCGATTTCTGTCAGGGAGCAAAGCTTCATTGCTCCGGTCTTAAAAAGTGGGTCGTCAAATATCGGATTGTTTTTTGCCGCCTCTCTTCGTCGCAATCGGACCGCGAACGTAGTGGAAGTAAATAAGAAGGAGCGAGGACTGGAACCCACTGTGACCAGGCCCTCTGGGTCAAAAGCTTCAGAACGATGATGCCGTTGTTCAATTGTGTTGACATAGCTTTAAAAAATTGTATAGTCACAAAAAAACCTTTATTGAAAGATAATATGTGGAGGACGATTTCCTTTTACTTTTTATGTTTACATGCAGCCCTTTAGAGTTCAACTCCCGAAAAATAAAAAAATTAAAAAACGCCAACATTTGACAAATTAAAAGACTGAATGAATGAGAGCGATGAAGTTTGAAACAGCGCGTTTCGCTGCCTTAACGCAAGATACGAAAACTGACATCTAGCATTAATTGCCTTTTCACCGAATAACCCATAAACCCCGCTAGCTCTGAGCGTTAGCTTTTGTTAAGCCGGGAATTATGGGGACGAGGCAAAGAACATGAAATATTTTGACCTCGGTGGGATTCGAAACCACGGCCTCCGGATCTGATGTTGGTGTACAGACTAAACTACGAGGCCTAGCTGACGGGAGCAATAATTTAAAAATGGCGAAAGAGGTCAAAAGAGTTTTTTTTAATGCCATGTGTGGTAGCCGGCTAAGCGCTCAGTGGCAAGCTCTTGAATTCTCATTACATTTTCTCTGTTTCTTTATTTGTTTCACTGGTACTACGCGCAACAACATAAGATATGTAGCCTGCCTTTCTACATTTGAATACCGATTGGCTTTTTGTCCCAAACCGGAGAACCAGTGTGTCATTCGGGTCGCGTGGTCGTAGCGAAATCTGGACCAAGAATAAATGCTAATATAATAGAGGGCCAACAAGCCGGCTTTTTATCTCAATTTTCTAATTATTATAGGAGCGATATCAAGGAAATTGCTTCTCATCCTCCGCTCCAGCATCAGCCCCACTCATCTCAAACTTCCGTTTTCTTTGCAGATGTGTTTTTTAAAAACCCCTTTACAATGGCTCCCTAAATTGCCTTAATTATTTGTTTATCATTTTTTTACGCGAGCTTACTGCCTTCACTTGATGCAATAAGATGAGAGAGCAAATGGTCGAGCTCCTTTTGGATTGAAGGTTCTTGTCCAAACACGTTTTTCATGAGCATTCTCTCACGCTTTCAGGTCTTTTCTTCTCCGACGTGCTTCCTGCACCCTTCCCTCCGCCCCTCTCTTTCCCGCGCTTTCCGTTTGCCGCTCTGTCAAACATAAAATGCGATTCAAAGCCGCAGGTGCGGTGAGTTACAACAGAGTGTGGTAAAGTTTCGGCTTCGCGTCGGCTAAATAACAAATGATTTGCTGTATTTTTTCATTCCTCGGGGTCATATGGTTTTCCTCAATTTTTGCATATTGCAGGCGGGCAGGGTAAATGACGGATAGTTTTATTAGAGTCTTGTACTGTTCAGCCCAGAATAAATCCTTCCTCTTATCACTTTCAAAATCCTTTAAGAGGTAAAATTTAGGTTGTCCTAAACCTTTGACAGCCCCGCACCTCTCCCAGTCAAAAGAACAATCTCGTATTTCCCAGGGGTATGGAGGCTTCATTGCCTCTTCTCCGGTAGCAGAGGGACCCAGAGGCCTCTACTCCCTGGATATATTTTTCGAGGGAAAAGAGGCCTCTGCTAGCAAGCAAGGTTTTCACTACTCAGACGTTTACCGCGGATGAGCAGAGGTTTTTTTCTGACAAGTATGGCTATTTACATTAGCGAAGTCGTCTGCATGGTTTGTTAGTCGCGTAGTTTCTCTCGGGCAGTAAACAAACCAACTACGCCGGACGACTGACATACCACGCGAACGACTTTGTAAATGCTTAAAGCCATGTCAGAAAGAAACCTCTGCCCGCTTGGTACAGACTTTAGGCAAATAGGACTTAAGCCGGATTAATAAAAGACATTTTTTCGGAAGCATGCATCACCAAACATCATCATCGGGGCGCGCATAACTTTCGTAATAAGCTAAGTTGATATTTATTTTTATTTTGCGTTTTTCAAAAATAGCTCAAATAGTAGCCATACTGATACTGTGCTTGGCCGCGCTTGTGTAGAACTGCACATAGTCAATGACGGATTCATTACTAGGCAGTCAAGCTCATACGACCTAGGATCTGAGCATAAAAATTCGGCTCTCCAGCTGAGAGGTGATCTTATGATTTCGAATTCACCTTTTTTGTTTTCATTTTTTAAAGACCGAAATAGTTACTGATTTTCAGTTAAACAGCGGGATCCGTCGTAGCATAATACTACTCAGCAGAACTTTCGTCATATGTGCCACCTAACCTCTCGATCGCAACCATCAATAAAGCGATCATCGCGCGCGAACGTCCATTAAAAATACCGAAACACAGGGCGGAATCATTTTTTTAAAAATCACTACAGTTTTGAACCCGTGGGATGCGAGAGAAGAGGCGGGCGGATGCTTGTCGGAAAAATAGAATTAACCCTCTAAGTCCCCATATCCTCACACAAATTCTCCAGACTGCTATCAATACATTTCCTTGAAAAAATTGTAGTTAAGAGAATTTGTTTAAAGATCAAAGCACTTTTCCGTGGATGATCATTCTATTAACCTTTTGGTGACGGCCGGCGAGTAGCGAGAAAACCTTATTTTTCACCAATTCCTCTTCTTTGGACTGGTTTTTGGCCAGTTAGCATAAGAATGGCTAAAAACGAGTTTTGCAAGGAAAAAGGCATATTTTCCGACTAACCTGACGTAATTAAACAGCTTTTTTGTTTTTTACGCATGCGCAAAAGTCAAATTTGGACTTGGTATGTAAGCAGCGAAATTAGCAGTGGATTTTCCCCCAAAATGTTACCTTTCTTTGTGAGTGTTACTCTCTCGGGATTGGTCAGAATATCCAGAACGAGGTATCGCTGGAAAGATATATCTTTGCTGACGTTGTTGATTACCAATTTACTAACTTAAACTGAAAACTAAATAGGTCCAAGGAGGAATGTTTTAACATCGTCCCACATGGGTCGTACACATAGGCACTCCCGTCGATTAACCCAAATATTCGGAAAAAATCTCCAAAACTAAAACACAAACAGCGGTGATAAACGTTGTGAGTTTTCGCATTTTTATAAACTTGACGTTTCGTATGCTATTCAACATACATTTTCAAAAGTGAGGATCAATTATGTGGAGTTTTGGAACGAAAGCGAAACAAGCGAGATGTTCCCGTTCCTATGGTTCCCAAGAAGGATGTCATTATTTTGTTATCTTATTTAGGTCTTCAAAGCAACCAAATTTCTAAACGTCTAAAATCCTGTATTAACCAGTTTTACTCTTGTGTTAATTTAAAGATAATTTTTCAAAACACCTGCCGTATTAAATCTTTCTTTCCATATAAGGACCGCCTTAATCGCTCTCAAAGATCCAACGTCGTTTACAAAGCTTGTTGTTGGGATTGTAATGATTTTTACATTGGTAAAAGGTTTTCTGTCCCGGGGGGGCCTCGCAGAAAAAATTGGGTAAAGCTGCAGTTGGGTGCAAGATAGAGGCTTCCAAAGGTAATTACCCTATTTATAAACCAAAATCTGCGATTTTCCCTACCCCGCGCTTTTATGACCTTTAACCAAAAATTTGATACCCTATTTTGACCTGACCCTTTAAATCAATAGCCCTACAAGAGAGACCTGCCTTATAATTATTTCCCTAGTTCAGACCAATGTTAAAGGCTAAAATGTT